AACTAAGTAAGGAAAGCCGGCAACAAGTGCACTGCCATTTATCTTATGAAGTTTGCACCAAGTCTCTGTAATAAACAAACCATAGGGACTGCATGTTAGTAAATGATGAAGATCAGGTAGCTTATTGTTTACGGATCCTGGCGTTAAGGAGGAACAAATCTGTTAAAAACAAGCAGTACTAGACGACGGAACTGTGGACCCGAGACGCATCCATGTCCTGCGAAGAAAGCGAGAAAGGACGGCTCACTGATGCATGAGGCTCAACAGAAGTGTGATGCGGAAGTTCTCTAGGATTCCGAAGCTTATGTATTTGGAGATCTCGTACTACGTATAACAGTTTGCCCACACTAGCGTTCCATTGACCAGCTTGTTTTCTCAAGGAGCGGTCCAATTCCAGTTCCTCAGCAGTATAGTCGCGCCGCGCATAGGAGTGAACGAACTGTTTCGTCAAACTCTGCCGACCTGACCTCATATGCTGTAAAAGCCTATCCTTAAGTTCCTGCGAGGGCAAACTGATTTTAATAATCCTTCCACGGCTATTGATCCCTCTAGGTTGACCTGCCGGATGACGAAGAGCCGTAATATTTCCCTTTGAAAACTCCTCCATCAGCTCAGCATCGCCAGAGGTCTCGATCACCTCTTTCAGGGCCTCCTTGTCAAACTTCTTTGTAGCGAGATCATCCTTCTGCTCGCCAAGTCCTACCCATGCTATCCTCCTCAGCTTGTCATCGATCTTCTTCTCGTCCGCCTTGACTTTAACTATTGTTGAATATAGCGCGTTTTGATTTACGTCTCGCTTAACGATGTTCAAAACGCTGTTTTCGAGAGCTGAAATACGGGCCAGTATCTCCTCCTGCCGCATGTTGATTTCTTCAATCTTACTGACCATCTTGTCAAACGATGTCAAAAGCGCTTTTTCCAATCGTTCAGCGCAAGCATCGTACCTCTCCATCATTCTCATAGCCCATAAAGGTATTTCCTGCTCACCTCTTTCGTCTGATTGGTTCTTTCTTGCACCACGAGCCATAATAGTGTGATTGAATAGAGTCGGTGCTCCAGAAACCAGAGAATACGAGAAAAGCAGAACCGTACACCTGAGGAAATACACGCAGCCAGCTCACGACCAACGTACGATGAGGAAATGAACCTCGTGAGTGAGAGGCTCGCGTCTGAGGACGATGTCCGATCCTATGAATATGCGACCACAATAAGCGTGGATATAGGCGAAAATTTCAAGCGGTTTAAACTTGTTCTCAGACTGCATCATAGCTTGACTCATGATAC